GTACCGGGGATCGAACTCAGGACCTTGTGCTTGTGAGGCAGGTGGCGGAACCACTGAGCTAAATCCCTGGCCCCTCTACCACGTCTTCGCAGGTCTGGAGCAGGGACAGAGAGGGCCTGGGGGATGGGTGCCTACAGACAAGACTATCAGAGATGAGACCTAGAAAGAGGACAGGAGCTGGGCTGCAGCTCATAGAAGAGAATGAGTCCCCACCTTGGGGACAATATGAGTATTTGCTAAACACAGCTAGATGCTGGTCCCCTGACCCCTGCCTAGAAGCACTGGAAGCAGCTGTGCAGAGGACACACTGGCTGGGTAGATCCCCAACACCTGCTAACTAACCAGCTCGCCAAGTTTTATGGCGAGGGATGATCCTACACCTACCCTTGGACTGGATCCTGCACCTCCCCACAGCCCTGTGGTCCTGCTTAGTAGCCCTGCTGTCCTGCTTAGTAGCCCACCGCAAGTACCAGACTCTTCATCTATTAAGTGAGGGGAGGGCAAGGAGTTTGGACTAGAGATATATGTGCCCCGTGGTACCTGCTGGATCCGAGTAATTCTTGTTAAACTGGATCTGGAACAATTTGAAGACTTCTTTTAGCACTGGTGGCCGGGGACCTGGGTCCTGGGAAAGAACAAGGGGGAGGAGGTATAGATAGAAGAATCATTGCTGGGCCCTCCATGTGGGCTCCAGCTATGTAAAGACCGGAATGGGGGTCACCTGGTTAGACTCTGTCTCCTCATGTGAGCTTGGGAATGGCACCCACCTCTCCAGCCTCAGTTGCTCCCTTTGAGAAATGGGGTCCCCAGGCTAGTGGTTTCTGGAGTAGTGACCCTAGGCATGAGACTGGTATGAGGGGTAAGTTGGGAGCACTTACCTGGGCCCTGGGGGAGTCCTTCATGCCTGGGGCTAGGCCTGCCACCAATAGGATCAAGAGGCTGGAGAGATGGGCATTCAGAGCCATGATGGTTTAGAGCTGAGTGCTGTTTGCCAAGTGCCAGGACATGAAGCTATATAAACCAAGTTGGAGGGGCGGAGCTGGAGAAACCACAAAGAGAAACGTTCTCAGTGGCCCCTCAGCAGACAAAGCTCTCAGGCTTTCAGGCTTTATTTAGTCTCCCTCCCTACCTAACTGTTTTTTGTCCCTTTACCGACCCATTTCTTTTTCTTTAGTCAACAGTGAATCTAGTCCACTCTGTTCTGGACAGTTCTAGGTATGTGGAGATGGATCTTCCCTTAAGGAGACGAGTGACAATCTAGTGGGCACTCTTGTTCCTCCTGTGAAGCTCAGTTAGCTCAAGGGCCACCTCCTTCAAAAAGCTTTCCCTGCTCCCCTAGCCTCTGGTGTAACCATCTGTAGCCCTGTAAGCCCCTAATGTAGCTGTATTTACTTGGCATCTGCCTTCCAGCTGTATGAGACTTGTTTGATTTGCCTGTGTCCTCAGTGTCAGGACAGGGCTACAAGGAGCAGGCTAGATGGGTATTTATTGATTGAACAACTAATTATCAGCTGCCGTCTCCTGTTCCTCGTTCCTGTCACAGTCTGGGGATGGCAGTGAGTTCTTACTGGGCTGAGGAGGAAGAAAGACAACAGGTAGGACAGAAAAAATGGTGGAGTAAAGACAAGAAGCCGAGTACAGTCTTTCAAGATCCTTGGAGCTCAGACACTTGATGAACAACAACTTAGTGAAGAAAAAGACCAAAATACATCTTTGGGAAGCAAGAAAGAGCCAATTAGAAAACTAGAAACTACAGAGAAACAACACAAAGCATATTAAAGAACTAAGCAGTCTAGAATGCACACCCCAGTTCCCAGGAAGGCGGATGGACCTATCTCCACAATACAGTGTAAGACTGGAAAGAAGAGTCAGTAGCTCCAGGGAGAAACAGTGGACCCAGCTGGCAGCATTAGCCGCAAGAAGAGCCCATGGTTGGTATAAACTGCAAATTCAACCTGGGGTTTTACTCTGAAAGTAACTCCTATGTGGCAGCTTAGTGTTGGAGAAGAAATGAGTGTACAGACCACCATATTTGATACTGTTTCATCAGAGAAGGGGTTGATTGTTTTAAGATTTGAGGGGCTGGAGATTTAGCTCAGTGGTTCTGATGTCTGCTCCACATCCCAAGTTTGATCCTTGGTACAAAAAAAAAAAAAAAAAGACACTCCAAGGTTTCTAGAGTTACCATACCAGAGTGACTGGGTGGAGATGGCCACAAGAGACAGGGGTAGAGGGCCATTGGCTAGTCATAAGACACCCTTTTAGTTGTTCAGGCCAGGAAAAACACGCCCTCTATGGTGAGAAACCAGGCGGGTAGTGTGTGGTGTTCAGAGGTAGCTAGGTGTGAAAATGCTGACATTTAGTCCAGCAGGCTGCTTGACCCACCCTTCCCCACCTCTTTCCCACTGCCCACACCCGGTACAGAACTCAGTGATCTGTTTGCTTTTCCCATCTGCCAACATGAACAGGGAAAAGCCTTAGCTGGAGCAGTTGCCACAGCCTGGGATGCACAGGCAAAGAGCCCTCTGGAGCAGAGCGGCACCTCACAAACCCACAGGCCATAAAGCTAGGTGGAGAAAGCAGTGATATGAGGCACACTGAGAGACATAGAAACTGGGAGCAGCTGGAGCAAACACAGTCCTAGGGCAGGTACCATTGACCAACCACACACAGTAGGAATGGCAGAATAGGACTCAGCACTCACACAGAAAAGTGAGCATGGAAACAAAATAGAGCTTAGTACTGAGCACTGTTGTCCCGTATCTCATGGATTCTAATCCTATAGACCCTGTGGGAAAACACTCATTCAGAAAGATAAATTTCTGTTTTTCTTCATTGGTTTTCTGGGGCTTTTTATTTATTTTATTTATTTAGTACTGCTGATCGAACTTGGAACCTTGTGCTTTCAAGGTAGGTGGTGGAACCACTGAGCTAAATCACCAGCCCTGGGGCTTTTTAATGTCTTTCTTTTTAACTTTTCTTTTGCCCTGTTTCTTTTTTTCTTATTTGTTCTTTTCTGTTACTTTTATCTAGAATTAATAGAATTATTTTTTTGTTATTAGTGGGATCCTTTCTCACTTTTTTCTGTCTCATCTTCATTTTCCTTTTTTTTTTTTGATACCAGGGATCGAACTCCAGTCCTTGTGCTTGCAAGGCAGGCAGAACCACTGAGCTAAATAGCTAAATCCCCGTCCACTCATCTTCCTTTTCTTTTCTTTTCTATCTATCTATCTATTCATTTATTGTCTTTGAGACAGGGTCTCACTATGTAGTTGAGACTGACCTGGAACTCACTATGTAGCCCAGGCTGGTCTCGAACTCACAGCAATCCTCCTGCCTCAGCCTCCCGAGTGCTGGGATTACAGGTGTGTGCCACCATGCCCAGCCTTCCTTTTCTTTATTTTTCAACTTTTCTTTATTTTTCATTTTTCGCTTCCCCATGCTCTCCATTTTTGTCAGCATTACCATTAAGCTTTATTAATCTAGATATTTAGTTGACTATATTATCATTGTTTAATTCTTTTCTATTAATGGTGGTATAGTTGTTCTATGTAGCAGATGTTTATTATTGGCCAATATTTTGTTTGTCTTTGTGTCTGTATTATTGCTGGTCTCTCTCTCTCTTTGCTTTTTTTTTTTTTTTTTTTAA